CTTTTTGGGGTACTGGGGTTTTTCGCCGTTTTACGGATGCACGCAATTTGTAACCTGGGCATGTTGGGTATCGTTTTACTCGTTGTAACCTCATCTTTTATATTTCATTAAAAAAATTGGTATTTTGTTGTGTTTTGGGGCATTTAATTAAATTTTTCACTAAATATTGGGGTTTAATAAGGAGTTGCGCTAATATTGCGCAACATAAAAATTTGCAACTACCACCATTTTATTCTATAGGGTCTTGGCATTCAGAAAATATATAATGTTGGGGGGTTTTAAGTAATTTTCAGGCCTAAAATGTGGAATATAACATGGGTACAAAAAATGAAAAAAAGGCCTCAGTCATGAAGGGGTTAATATTATATAAAATAATAATGAGAGTAACAATATTATTAATATGTTGTGTTGTTAGTAGTGATGATGGTAGTAGCAGCAGTTGTAATACAACTTCAACAAATATTTGATGCCACTGAAATTAGTTGAAAAGATCTCACGAAAAGGGACTTGTAATGAATTCTGAAATAAACTGTTAGCAGAATGTTATATGCTATTCTCTGACAAGTGAACATTTATACGAAGCTTTTGTGTTGTCACATAATGTCGCTGATTCATTATTTCACAAGCCTTATATGATTAGATTTCCCACATTAGATGCTCACCACTACAGGACTGTTACTGAATGTTGTGTTATGACCCTAAATAAATGGTATCCTATCAGTATCTGCTAATTAGTATGACAGCTAGCTGCAATAATCAGTATGAATAGATCTTGATGAAACTCCTTGAACACGGTACATACTGTGCTTGTAACTCATCCGCTCACTTGTAGAAGTCACTGATTTCTGGCTTAACCTGATTAAGAATTCATCTCTTTCAGTTTATTTTTACAATTTTGGATGGAAAGACTACGGTGTTGCTTCCCTGACCACAATTTTGGATATGGTGAAAGTTATGTCATTTGCCTTACAAGAGGGAAAAGTAGCAATTCACTGCCACGCCGGCCTAGGACGCACAGGTAAGACAAGTTGAAAGAGATAAAGAGGGGGATTTATCAAACTGGAGCAGACAAAATCTGGAGCAGCCGTGCATGGCAACCAATCAGCTTCTCTCTTTCATTTTCAAATCTTAACTGAACAAACTGAAGAGAGAAGCTGATTGGTTGCCATGCACAGCTGCTCTAGATTTTGTCTGCTCCAGTCATGATAAATTCCATGTATTATTTTTGAGTAGGCCTACAGCCAATGGTAGTAAGCTCCAGTGTTGTAATTATATTATAAACATGCTCACACACTCACTTTTATAGAGTACCTGAAATAAATAATTGTCAGGATGTTTGATCAAGCACACACCGGTGTTTAACATATAGGGCCTGGATAAAGCAAAGATATCAAAAGCATCCCTCTAAGTTTTAAAAACAACATCTCTTATGCATGCTATTGACAGGATGTCGTTTCACTTAGGGATAGAAATCCCTCCCCCCCCCCCCCCCCTCCCTCCCCTATTTGCACAGTCCAGCTCCCTTCTCCCTTTGAAATTATGTAACAGTACTCCCTCATCTGATGGGTGACTACAGGGAAAAGTGGCCACTAAACTACTGCTCCCTATTCCTTGAAAGGAGAACTATGGGGTTAGGGGTTAGGCCCCATAGTTCTCCGAAGGTTAATGGGAGGACACAAACTAGCATCCTCCCGTCGCCCTAAGCTCAGTATATAATCCACCCCTATCTTCATTGTATTCTGACAGTGCCTGCCAACTGCTGTCAGAATACACGAATGGTGCTTGCAGCTGATTGGCTGCAAGCACTGTTGATTCATAGATTTTCCAGCTGGCTCTTTTAATCAGCTGATCAAGGGATGGTGGCTGGAAGGGTGCCAGCAGTGGCACCCATTGTGCGAATTTTAACTGGTTACTGAAGAACCAGCCAAAATTTGCATAGCATATGGCCAGCTTTAGTCATTGCTCCTTTTTCAGCCTGCATATTGGAAGAGGAAAAATGAACACATTGATAAGGTTATCCCAATGATCTGTTTTCCTGTACGCAGGTTCACAGCGTTAGACTCGGAGGACTGTGCAAAGCAATAGAGCCCTGATTAGTTCAGAGTATTGACCTTTTGTCTTTCAGTCTGAGTGCTGTTGGTCAGAGATTATAAAAGGTGAACATAAGGACAAAATTCAGTTACAAACACAGGGCAGATGCACAGGTATATGTACATTGCTATTCAGTTTGAGTGGCGCCCCAATGCTTATTTACTGTAAGTAGGTTCCCTAAAAATGACAACTGTACTTCTGGTACAGCTGTCTTTTAAGCAATTCCCGCACCCGCAAGTGCAATCCACTTGCTAAAATACTTACCTTCACCCTCGATCCAGCAAGCTTCTTTGTGCATCACTGCACAGTGCCCAGCAAAAATGTCTACACTGGGTGTTCTTAGTATGCATGTGCACCAGGGCAGTATTCATTCCTATGGGTAATCCATATTTATGGGGGCCTCCAATGGTCCAGCAGAGGATGACTTTTCCATAAAAATGTACGGGGCCTTAGTGAAAATGCAAATGCGCACCATGAGGACTCTTTTGGTGGAAACGCTGTGCAACGCTGGGCAGGTCTGCAAAGTGAAGATCACTGGACAGGAACGTAACAATAGCCACAGCAGTCCAGGTGGATGCTTTGAGGCTTGGGGGGTAGAGGGGGAACCCATTAGGGGGCCTGTTGAGGCAATGTTAACAAAAATCTGTGTGCATGTGACGATAACACATATCCAGTAATGTATCGTTAAGGATTGCAGAGGTTGCTTTTGACACTGACCTTGTACTTTCCATGACATTTCCAATCAAGAACAGCAGGAGACATAATGGTTGTCACTTGTCACAGATCCTCTTTGCAGACTGTGTAGTAAGGAGAATTTGTTTAGCTGTCAGGGTAGTGCAGATTTATTGCCCTCAGAGCTTCAGGTCACCCCGGCCAGTACTGAAATCAACCCTTTATGTCAATCTTCCTCAGACTATAATAAACAGCTAAGTGTCTCTTCAACTAAAAACTGACAGATGTTTGCAGCTTTGCATAAATGTTTGTATTAAGGTTGTATAGTAATCATGTGCAGAAGTACTAACATTTATGTCATAATAGAAAATATTTTGATGGTCATTATTATTGCTGCTACCATTTTTTTTGTTTTTGTTTTTACTGAATACTTCACCACCTCTTCCAGAACTTGATTGAAGTGATGTTGGTGGTAGGGTTGTAAAGATTTTGAATGTACACTGAGGCCCCGATATCTAATATGCCAAAAAAGACTTCTGAAGATAGTAGGTAGTTGGAAAATTCATGTTAAAAGTTAAATCCCTGCACTGCCGCCCCCTGTTCCCTGACAGCTTTTGTCCACAGCTCTGGTCCCTAGTAATGTACTGACCGCTGATAATTCTGCTGTTACCTGTCCTTGATTTAGAGATACTTTATGTTAAGATTAATGACAGTAGGG